TCAGGTACATCTGCAACTCCGAGACGTCGCTTTGCGTTCTCCTGATTGATGAATCACCTGAAAACCTTGAAATCAAGTTAGTAGCTTGTGAAAATAAATGTTTGGCCTTCTTACTTACGTTTTTAGATGGTTGGGAAGGCCCTGAGCGAGGAACGGTGCCATATTTGGCTTCATAGACTCTATATAAAGCAAAAAACTGATCCTTCACATTAGTCTTATAGTTTTCTACATCATCGTCAAGAAACATGCATTGAAAGTAAATGTCAACTAACATAAATGTGTTTTCATACTTTTGCCTAGGATCTAATATGGAAGCAAAAATATAAATCAAAGGAATCTGACTATAATATTTACGCCACTTTTTTTCCATTGCTGGAAGATACTGATCATAATCACTTTGATCGCGATGATCAGCGAAAAGTTGGGCGAGTAAGCATGCATTAGAAAGAAAGTTTTGAGCACAAGGATTGTAAACAGTAGAAAAACAATACGTCATGTTATATAATAACTGTAAAAATTGCATATATCTTTCACAGTTATTCCAATCATCATCATACAAAGCATTTTGTGGAAATTTTTGGTTGTAAAATAATGTTAACGGGCCCTTGTACTCAATTGCCTTTGTTAACATGTCATAGGTGGAATTCCACCTAGTTGGGCAATCGGTTCTAATTTTTATTACCCTTATCTTTTGTTGTTTTAGAAAACTCTTCCATTCTTGGTATCACATGTTAGAGCTATTAATAGACATAATAGCATCTCTGATTTTGCTGTAGTATGGGCCAATTGCCCGAACTCCATCCTGTACACATAAGTTAAGTACATGGCAAACACATCTAGTATGAAGAGCTTCACCGTCTAATAGTACATCGGTTAAGTTTTGTTTGATAAGATTAGCTGTGTATGTCATAGAGGTTGCATTATCAAAAGTCATAGACATCATTTTATCTCGAAGGTTGTATTCGTCTATTGCTTGCATTAAATGGTGAGCAATGTTAATGACGGTGTGTGGGTATTCCAGCATTTTGAAATGTATTATTCTTTTTTGTAACATCCATTGATCATCTACCCAATGGCAAGTCACACATAAATAGTGATATTTATAACCACTATCCCAAGAATCGGCTGTTAAAGATACTCTACAGTTAAGGTTACTCAATTCGGCTTGTAACCGGACTTTGTACTCTAGGAAATTTTTCATTGCTGCGGAACGAACGGTTTTCCTAGAGATTCTTTTATGTTGGGGTTGTAGTGCTTTGTTAATGTAGGTGTTGAATGCGTCACTTTTCGAGAAAAGAAAAGGTTGTTCGACGTGTACTATCATTTTTCCTAGTTCATCCCTATCCCTCTCATAGTTGTATGTAAAGCCGTATGGATGAAATTGGGAAATTTTGGGCTGGGTTGGATCACTAGCTGGTTTTGCACAAGCTTTCATGTGTCTAGATAAGTGTCCCGTCCCGTTTTTGGTAACTGCCGTGAATACACTATTACATGTTTTACATTTTGCCCATTGTTCACCATCTTTACTTAGGACAAAATAACGCCATACCTCACTCCTTCGGTTTTTCAAAAGTAGCATCTCAGTTTCGGTTAACCATTCATGATGTGTGTATTGGTTAGTAGGGGGACTAGTGGGAGTGGCAGTAGAAGGGGTAGTAGAACCGGAGGGAATTCGGGTACTTTCTTGGCTACCTTGGCTAGAACAATAGTTTTGTTGATTACCGATATAATTAGGTGGAAATTGGTATGGTGGTAGTGAAAATTGGTTTAGTGGTGGTGCTGGAAATCCCGACGTATTATATGGCTCATAGCCCGGGGGGAAGTAAATGGGGTCATTGGTTTGACTCGTAATTTGGGGGCTCGTTGTATTTGGTGGTTCCCTAGAACTACTACTACGGATAAGTCGGCCTTTCCCCCTAGACCTAGATGATGGGTTATTCGATGCCATAATTAACAATTAATTTTTTAATAAAAAGTGGTTAACTATAATAATAATAATTAATAACAACAATTTTAACAATAAAAATATCAATAATAATAATTAATAACAACAACTATAACAATAACAATAACAACAAAAATAAATAATAACAACAATTGTAACAATAATAATAATTAATAACAACAATTATAACAACAACAATAACAATTAACAACAATAATAATTAAACAAGATTATTCTAATAATAACAATAAAACAATAATAAATTTAAGATTAGTTTAGATCTTACAACCGTGTTTCAACGCTCCACTAATTACGATTACGAACTTTTTAATTTTTTCCGATATTAGGAAAATAATTAGAGAATTTAAGAGAATAATTAGAGAATTTAAGAAAATAAGGATTATTAGAGATTTAGAGAATATAAGAGATAAGAAGAAGAGATTGTGATTTTGTGATTTGGGAATGAAATGGAGGTGAGTATTTATAGAATTTTTGGCAAAAAACTAGCCGTTTAACTAGCCGTTGGCCCGCGGGCCGTGCCTGCGGGCCAGCACGGCGGGCCTTGCCCGTGCTCGTGCCGGGCCGTGCCTGGGAATTCTCCACCGTGTCCGTGGCACGGCCCGTGGCACGGAAGTCGAACTTCGTGCCGTGCCGTGCTTGACTTCGGGCCGTGCCGGGCTGCTCCGAACGGCGGGCCGTGCCGGGCGGCACGCGGGCCAACCCGGCCCGTGCCCAGGTTTATACATGCATATAAACATACACAGGACTCAAAATAATGCAAGACACTATATAGTATGGATTTAAAAATCCATATTTCATTGGACTTCTGGTCCATGATAAACTTTTGATCATTATTATTATGTCGACATCAAAATGGACATATGTATTTCGGATCCCTTATTCACTAGTCCATTCTATCATGCATATGCATATTATTTATCGGTTCCCTTGTGTACCGGTATCATAATATTCCTTTAACGTATATTTCACATGCTATTTTACTATGATATCGTAATACATTTCTTATTGGTACCATCATAACTTCCTTACATCATAGGCCATATATTGTAATAATTCAGATATCTATACCACTTTTAGGGTATTTCATACACTATGGTATTTATATACTATTACGCTATTAGTATTAATTGCACTATCTTGCCATATATCATATCCATTAGAGATATCTTTATTTTGGAACCGATCATACAACTTACACTTCAGGTGTAGTGATTCAAGTATAATTTGCAAGATTTTATCTCAATGTATACACATAATATGACCAAAAAGTATCTTCAACACTATGCAACATGAGTCATAACTAAATACAAATCAAATCATAAATGTGAAACATATCTTGATATTATATAGACAAAAGTTGGCATATAACTTTTCAAACTACCTTTATAGGAATCATCAAATATATTTTCCGATTTTTTTCCAACTTTTGCTAATTCTTCTCCCCCTAAGTTGGTAAAATATCTCATTTATAGGGGTGTCTAATTCTATACCAACTTAGTATACAGATTTACATTAAAATTCTTTTCATCGGGAGGATCACAATCAAAATAATTATCTCAGAAGATTTGTATTAAACAAGTTTTATCTCTTCTAGATAACAATTTCAACGAAGAATCATTTCTTCATTAACTTTACATTGCATGTGTAGTTATTGTTACACTTTCCATAATATGTTCTCTTCTGGAGATCAATGTCAATGGGGAGACATGTGCTGTGCAGTTGTATGTTTTTCTTTCTTTTCCAATTTCTTATGTGCTGACATATAATAGCCCCAATCAAAAGAATTATTATACAAGCATAAATCACTTGCTTGGAATTCTACTAGGTAGTGATCTTCGAGATCTTTAAAGATTTAAATAGAGTATTTGGTGAGATTCTGGTCACCTAATAGTTGACAATAACATATTTGTTATTCTGGTGAACTTCTGGTCACCCATTACTCTTGACATTTTCATCAATACAAATTATTATAAATCACTATTCAATAATAGCTCAATCTCAATATTATGTCTTGCCATTTAACTCATTTCATATATGCAACATTGAGAGAGCATCAGCACATTATCAAATAAAACTTCAAATTTCCATAACGGGTAATTATTAAACCCCGATGGCCTAATTTAATTATCACATCCAGTCACTTCACTAAATTCGAACTCTGGTCAGTATTCCAACACTAGTGATCACTTTATTAAAATTACTTTATGCATGGCCATGAATATGATGTGATATTAGAACACCAAAATTGTTTCTTTATATAATTGGCAAGACAATCAACTAATACTTGATCCAAAATTTTATACTCTGCTGGAGCTTTGACTATAATCTTGATGCATGCTAAACTTGTTGGACATTCTATACTCTTTTAGAGTACTCTATATAATCATGGTACATATCCATTTTACTAAATATAATCTCTTATAAAGATATATCAAAATGTATTACTTCCTCAAATTTGCTATTGTCAATAATTGCTCTTATCCTGTTTGAAGATTCTTATCTTTGAAATCTATTGGGCTCGGCTACGGCTACCACGCTTTAGGCGTGCTTTAGGTTCATCAGTAATTGATGTTGTCCTTCTGGGACATTAATTTTAATTATAGCATTTACAGTTGGTATATAGTTAATGACATCTATTCATATCCATCTTCAGGATGATATCATTTTGAAATATATTAATTAACATGTGGCCACTTTTATTAGATAAAACGTTAATATTTAAGTTAATGTATGTACCAAACTGACCATTAATAGATTTTTTATTATTTATGTGCAAGGATGACATTAAAAAAAATGAAATAAATACTATCTCCCCTTAATCCTTGCATGTGGGGGCATTAAATTACTCCAACTACCTTTAAATCTCTTACACCTTTTAAGCCATAAATTCTCTTATCAATGCATGTATCAAACAAAGTAAAATGATTCTTATAAAACTCATATTCGTTCCTCTTGCCCAATTATATGAACCTTTATACTAAAAATTCTCAAATTAATATTCTAATAGAATTAAAGGAACTAAAATAAGATTCACTAAACCAAATAACTTAAATTAATAAACGACTGATAATAATAATGATGAAATATCTGAAAACATAAAAATATCCAAAAACATAAAATTATCCAAAAACAAATGTCCCATAAAACATAAAATCATAGTACTATGATAAAATTCTATAATAAATGTAAGCTAATTAATAGAGTTTATTCGCCAATGGATCATAATTTATTCAATTATTTTCTTCAGGATTAGGAAAGAAATCAGCTGCTTCCAGGTGAGTTTTATCACCATAATCAAAACCACCTTCGCCATCCTCATACACCAAATTTGTTTCTACTTTCTTTCCTTTCTGTTTGATTGATTGTTAAAAGAGGTCTACTAGACGTTTTGGTGTGTGACACACACGAGACCAATGGCCAACGGTAGCATATATTTTCATTTTTATCCTTCTCATTCTTATTTCCATCTTTATCGTCCCACTTCTTGTGAGAGTATGAGTTCCTAAAATGACCACCTCGACCATGATCATGTCCACGTCCGCGTCCACGACCACGGCCTCGACCACGACTGCTGGCGTGATCTCTAACCTTTTGCTCTTTCCCACTATGGGATGTCGCATTTGCTTCAGGGAATGGAGTAGAGCCAGTTGGGCGTGATTCATGATTTTTCATTAATAGTTCATTATTTTGCTCAGCCACAAGGAGACAAGATATTAATTCAGAATATTTTGTAAAACCTTTTCACAGTATTGTGTCTGCAGGACAACATTGTTTGCATGAAAAGTAGAATATGTTTTTTCTAACATTTCTGCATCCATGATTTTCTCTCCACACAATTTCAATTGTGATGTAATTCTAAACATGGCTGAGTTGTATTCACTCACAGACTTAAAGTCTTGTAATCTTAAATGTAACCAATCATAACGGACTTTTGGTAATATCACAGTTTTCTGGTGGTCATACCTTTCCTTTAGATTACTCCAAAGGACTTGTGGGTCTTTAACAGTCAAGTACTCAGTCTTAAGGCCTTCATGAAGGTGATGGCGAAGGAATATCATAGCTTTAGCCTTATCTTGGCTTGTTGCAGTGTTGTTTTCTTTAATAGTATCACCAAGTCCCTTTGCATCTAAATGTATTTCAGCATCTAACACCTAAGACAGATAGTTGTTTCCAGTAATATCAAGAGCAACAAATTCGAGTTTTGCAAGGTTTGACATGATTCACTGATAAATAAAATAATATTATAAATTAGGAACTAAAATGATATAATAAATATTCTATGTTTCAAGTGAGACGACTAATTTCAAGTAATTAATTATAACAAGATTTGCGTATTGAACCTTGAGAAGGTTATTGTTCATGAGACCACAATTAAGTCCACTAATCAATTATCTTAACAAAACATAAACCTTAATAAATATAAACCTTAAACAAAAACAAAGACGTTATCTTGGGACAAGTAAGTTCATCATAAAAGTCCAATGAAGACTAACTCAACAACATAATTAATTCTTTTCAGCCGAATTCTAGACACTATTTTCGTATAGGCCAACAATAACAACTAAAATTTCAAAGTGTGTTTCTTTCTTCTAAACTCAACATAATACTATTCTCTTATCAAACAAAATACTAACCACACATCAATAATTTGAGAACCCAAAAACATCGTTGAAAAGCACACTCTCAATTGTATCTATTCGAAAGCAGCCTCATTTCTTAATCACCTCGCGTTTTTATGTTGCTGTTCTAAAAGAGCAGGTACTATTTGTTTTGCTTCTCTTAGGAGCCTGTGACTATGTTTATCTTCCTCCATTTTCTCTCTCCTCTATCTTAAACATTGACCCATTGAGTACAAAGCTAATCCTCCAAAAGGAGTCCATTGTTAATAAGGTAAGTAATACTCGAATTTCATTAGTTTCAACGATTAATGGATACGAGAAAGAAATAGACTATTTTCGCAATATTTACATAAGTCAAATTTCATTGATTATCAAATTTTATTTCTAATTTCAGCATTATTTTTCCTGAATTACAGCAAACCCAGAAACTAAGATCTTGATTTCAACTACTAAAGTATCTAATTCGACTTAATCAATCAATATGAACTCAATACATCATAATTTATTATCAAGAATTCAAGATATAAATCTATATACAAATTAACAAAACAAATAGTATGTAAAATATAAGAAATTAAGAGGTAAAAATTTAGTGATTCACCTATAAAGTCACGGAATATTTTATGGGTGGATGACGGAGCAGTGGAGCACCGAGCACGAGAGGCCGGAGCGGTGAATGGCGGCAACAAGCAGCTTACGGGCTTGAGTCCTCTCCGAATTACAGCTGACCAACGGTGGCAGCAGGGATCAGTGGTATCGGCAGAGCAACGATTGGTTTCGGCAGAGGGGTTTGGGAAATTATTTTTCTGGTTGATGTTCGTGAAATCAAGAGGTAGTAGTATTAGGGAGAAGTTTGACTATATGTTGGGAGTTACTTTGATTGTCATTTGAGATCAGCCAATTTATGATGCTTCAATTGATATTGAAATCAATTTAGAGCAATGGTGTTGATAACGTGTTAAATATGGAAGAAGAAATAAAGAAAGATAGGAGAGAAATTGGGGAGAGAATCAATCAATCTCTCTTATTCCATAGAGTGGGGTATATATATACATACAATATAACAAGGGTTTGCTTAGATAACAATAAACCCTAGATCTAGAATATTCCGAAATGATAAAAGGAGGATAATGGATATCCACAAAATATTTCATAACAAATTTTACATTTCTATATTTTGTTATAAAATTCATCTTGCTCATGTGTATCTATTGTGATGTTCATTATATGATTTATAAATGTCCATGTTCTTTGATAGTAATTTTAATGTACCTTTATTGTCACATAATGTTCTTTACTTATTGTGAAATATTTTCTGAATTATGTTTTAACATGTTGGGTAAATAATATAAATAATGTTCTTTAAATAATATTATCATGTTCTTTATTAATATAGTAAATGTTCTTTAGATCTATCGGAAAATCAATCATCAATAGAAGAGGTCCCAAAAGTGTGTCGTCTTCATCAACCTTTATGATCCTGATTTCAAAAAATATACATATCACAATTAGATGGAATTTTTTTTTTTTTTTTGAAAAAAATACGCAATTAGATGAAAATAGTTTGTAACGTAAAGAACACATACTTTAAATCCAAAGAACATAGTTTGTGACTATAATGAACATATAGTTTAGACCCAAAGAGCATATTAATTAAACTCAATGAACATATTCATTCCAATGAATATGGATCAAAAAAATTGATAAAAGAACATTTATCCTAATCCAAATGAACTTCATCTTCAACCTCCGAAAATAACACAAATTTAATAAAAGACAAAAAAAACACAAATTTAAACAACAAAAAACTAAATAATAAAAAAAATATATTATATTTCTTTCAGTGATGAATTCGTAACAATGATCCATGAACAAATATAATAATCTAAAACATCATCATCAACAACAAAATGAAATATAAATTGAAAAAATTAATTAAAAACTACCTTCTCATTTGGTGACAAAATCTAAAATTAAATATCAATTGTCAAAAACATTGTTGATCATCAACTGCAAATCGACAATCATAGATCATGACGAAATTCACCATGAGCCATTATTTTCTCTCTAAAAAATTTATTTATTTCTCTTGAAATATTATTTTCTTTATAAAAATTCTCTATTTTTTCAAAAAATGATTATGAACAATTATATGAACATGGGAAGTTAAAATTATGGAAAGGAAATAACAAAAAAAATTCAATTAAGGAGCATAAATTTAGGAAGCTGACTTTTATTTTTTTTGAATGATAATTTTCATCCAAGTGTACCATCACTAGATGAAAAAGGTAATTTGGCACCGGTTCAAACCCCCACTAAGGCACCGATTTTGAACCGTTGGGGATTTGAAGGATGCCAAATCCCCAAAAATTTGGCACCGGTTCAAAACCGGTGCCAACTAAAGGCATTGGCACCGGTTAACCGGTGCCAACAAAGGGCTTTGGCACCGATTAACCGGTGCCAACTAAAGGCTTTGGCACCGGTTAGGCTTTGGCACCGGTTAGGCTTTGGCACCGGTTAACCGGTGCCAACTTCAATGGCGCGATTTTTATTTTTTTTTATCAACACTATTGGCACCGGTTTTAAGCAAGTACCGGTGCCTTTAACTAGAATTTTTTTTTTTCGGCAATATAATATAATTATATTAATTATAACATTAGGATATTATATTAATAATAATTATTATTATTATTATTATTATATTAATAATAATTATTACTATTATAATAATATTAATAATAATAATTGAAATAATAACAATACATAAAAATTGATAACAATCCCAAAATATAATACTAATTAGAAAAAAGTGTCATAATTACAAATAATATTAATCAATAATGTAGTACACAAGTTCAAACTAAAATGAAATTTACAAATGAAATGTGATGAAGGACGCCAACAAATCTCGAACTTCATGAAGTTCTTCGCTCGTGAACGGACGTCCCGTTTGTTCCTTGCAAAACTTGGAATAAACAAAACGTAAGTTATGAGTGAATTACTTAGGTTATATATGCATGTAAAAATACATTGACTACTTGAAGCCTATTTCCCACGTTTCTTGTCTAGTGAACTCATACTAACACATAACATGTCTTTATCACTTATTTACAGGTGGATAAGAGTTGAAATTACAAGAAAAGAGCAATATAGGGGTTTTAGGACGAATTTTCAACCAAAATGGCCCAAGTGAGGCCTAGTTGACTACTATATGATGCCTATATCCTACATTTCTTAACAAGGGAACTCATACTAACTCATAACATGTCATTATCACTTATTTATAGGTGATTAAGGCTTGAAATTACAAGAAAAGTGCAATATAGGGGTTGTAGGACGAATTTTCAACCAAAATGGCCCAACTAAGGCCTATTTGACTACTATGATGCCTATTTCCTACACTTCTTAACTAGTGAACTCATACTAACTCATAACATGTGGTTATCACTTATTTATAGGTGGTTAAGGCTTGAAATTACAAAAAAAGAGCAATGTAGGGGTTTTAGGACGAATTTTCAACCAAAATGGCCCAACTGAGGCCTATTTGACTACTATGATGCCTATTTCCTACATTTCTTAACAAGTGAACTCATACTAACTCATAACATGTCATTATCACTTATTTATAGGTGTTTGAGGCTTGAAATTACAAGAAAAGAGCAATGTAGGGGTTTTAGGACGAATTTTCAACCAACGGACAAACTAGGAGCAAATCACAATGAGATGCTTGTACAATGAAAGTGAGTCCCTTCATCATATGGATTATCCTAGTGTAACTATTTATGGCCAAGCTAATGGACTCAATGCAGAAGTTTAAATGACTAATGATGTTGTCACAAACTTCAGCACATTCAAAATATAAATAAACAGAACTAGCCAGTCATATAAACAAAAATTCACCAAATATCTTCATATAATTAATAATAGGAACACATACTATCATGCCTCTGCTGCAGAAGTTTCAATCGATCAATCAAGTGGGTCCCTACATCTGAACAATGTTGTTGACGTTTTTCCTTGTCAATTACCCTCAGGACTGCAAGACCACGTGCAGAGCACACCGGGTTTCATCCGTAAGTATTAAATTGAATTTTCTGAGCCAATACGCTAGCAATCTCAGGTGTAATCACCACTGCTCCAAGGGGTAGGCCATTGCCGATTCCCTGCAGCATTATGTTAAGTTCTGGTCAGATAAAAGACATCATGTTAAATCAAAATAAGTACTACAGCTAGAGTATACTAAAAGACCTTTGCCATTGTCACTATATAAGGAATAACGCCTTGTTTTTCAAAGCCCCAATACTTGCTCCCTGTTATACCAAATTCAGTTTGAACTTCATCAACAATGCAGACTCCTCCAGCCTTGTTTGGGGTAGAAATACCCCATCCACATGGCCCTATGGCAGAGCGACACGTGGCACCCCGCCATTGGTCAGCAGGGCTCCAATCCCCTGCTGACACGTGTCCCAGGAACCCTAAATGAGGAACCAAGTCTTCCCATTATAAATAGTGGGAGAATCCTCATTAATGGGGCATTCAATTCAGAATATTCAATACATTCATTGAGACTAACACAAAAACCGAGCAATATTAATTGCGGAATTCTCCCATTACGCGAGAAGTAATTTCACTATTTTACGCACTATCTTCCTCCTGTACGTAACTGACTTGATCGTCGGAGGCGGAGCTCCAACCAACCGGAGTCTTCGTGGTTTTGCAGGTACAGGCGGCGAAGGGCATTCTCGGAATTGTAACTCTAAAGCAGGACACATCAAAAAAACCCCGAAATATTTGGCGCCGTCTGTGGGGAGAGTACTTCTGAGATGACTTCTAATCCTGTACCACCGGATCAGGACAAGCGGCCATCGGCCGAGCCTGAAGTCCAGCCGGACCATGAAAGCGGTGATGATTACGGACTCGACACCTATGTGGCCCCAGACGGGTCCTTCAGAACAAAGCACACCCGTTCCAGGGATAAGAAGGAACGGGATAACATCCAAGCTGCTCCAGGCAACCCAGCCGGCAACCCAGTTAGAGCTGCTCAGGCGGCAGAAGGTTCTGCTCCCGTCACTAGGAATGAGCTCATGACCTTCATGAAGAGTTTCAAAGGCGATATCCAGAACCTTATTCGATCAGCTACTCCCAAGAAGAGTCAGCCGGCCAAGAAGCCTTCTTCTAGCAAGAAGGCGATTAAAGACCGGGTCCCTACCCCTCATCCAAAGCCGAAGGAGGGGGAGGGCCTCAGGTTTGATCAAAACCGGCTCCGCTTCCCACAAGCGGAACCTAGAAAACCCATCCAACACTTGCAGCCGGATGGTTCAAAAAACATATTCTCTGATGCCCGGACGTTTCTCCAAGAAAAGAGAAGTCTGGCGTCTGCGTCGGCTTCAACGTCGACCTTGCCAGACAGTTTCCGTGACACCTCTAACAAGCGCACGGGAACAAGCCTAGGGAGTCAGACGGGCGAACCATCCGCCCGGTCTGGACCCCAAGTGATCCAACCTGGTCTATTTGGTTCGCCAAATGGGCTGGGTGGATCCCCTTTTACCCAAACGGGTCCGTTTGGCAAGAATGTGCAGCAGCCGTTCCAGCTCATGGACTGGCAGCAGCGCCTGCTGAACTTAGGAGAACATCCCACGGCGTTCTCCCCTGAGAGAACCCAGGCGACACAGCCGGCTAAGGTTAAAAACGTGTTGATAGGGGCCTATGATGGTACCTCCAACCCAGAAGATCATCTAATGGCCTATTCCAACCTCATGTACTTACAGGGGTTGGATGATGCCGTCTGGTGCCGATGCTTCCCGGCTACCCTGAAGGGCATTGCCCAACGGTGGTCTGGAAATTTACCAGCCGGCTACATCAACAACTTCAAGACTTTGGCGTACTTATTTACGTCAAACTTCTCAATGAACATCCCGGCCAAAAAGACTAGCCTCGACCTGGGGGCAATACAGCAGGGTGACAGAGAATGGCTCCGGTCCTATGTCAAGCGGTTCAATCTGATGAGAATTCAGATTCAAGGACTGTCGGACTAAGTTGCTTACACAGACTTCTTTAAGGGTCTGAAGGATGGGTCAACCTTCAAGTTCAACCTCGTCCGGAAAAGGGTAACCACCCTCCAAGAGGCGTTAATGGAAGTTGAAGCCTATATACAGGCGACGAAGCTTTGTGCTGTAAAACAGCCGTCGGATTCCAAAAATCTGACAGAAGAGACAGCCGGCAACA